CTCCTTTCTCCCCTCTATCCCCGGTGTTCTCGGATGCTCAAACCGAGGCCCGTGAGGCTGTTACTACCAGCAGGGTGACCTTCTTGCACGCAAGCAATGGTGCCTCATCGCCGGGACACTGCTCCGCCACCAGCCTTCTCTCTTCCTCCCGTGTCTAATCCGAGCCCTCCATCCATGATCCAACAGTGAGAATGTCCGTACCTCTTCGGAGGTCAAATAGCTAAAGAGACCCTCGGTTTACATCTAATTGAACCCGCAGTCCAAGGCGTAGTTCCCCGAATGCGCATTCTCGTTTGGAAAACGTAACCTTCACGGCTTAAGTCAAAAATACGTTTTCAGTATTTACAGAAATGCCATTTGAACTGTTTCGTTTATAAAATTGTCGTTTTAGCTTCGAATTGATCCATTCAAATCGCGTTAGCTTCGTAATTCCATAATCTACATGTTAGAATCACTGTTAGTCAAGTTTGGAACTTTTTAATTTCCTGGTTGGATGTAATTAAATATATTGCTATAGGAAAACCCATTTAAATCATAACTTTTGCATTTTAGCTCCGTTTTTCGTGAATTTCGCGTTGACGTGATCGTAGCGAGACGTAGATTATTTTCACAAACCTATTATCTTGTTTTCTATACTGTTGGTGTACTGTTCTAATAATAGGAATGTTTGCTTTGCATGAATGCTTTTGGAATGTTGTATGTTGCCGTGTTGGTCGCGTTCAGACGGTGAGGAGAACGTTGGAGATCAGGAATTCTTTGACGACCAGCAGGACCAGCAAGAGTTTGTGAACCAAGGCAAGTATAGCATGGGACCTATCTTGATGCCTATTCATCATTTATTAATTATTCATTTGCATGTGTCTAATTTTGATACCCGTAAGGACATCCTAGTGATTGATTATCCTGTTCCTTGTCTCCTATGGGTTATATGCATATGAGTAGTTTGCTAGTGCTCAACATAACTATACATGAGCTACATATTGAACAACGATTCTATGGAAAGAAAAGGTAAAAGTTGCTTTTAAACAACTGGATTATAGGGCAATGGAGCAAATGACTTTCGATCATGATGCTCTCGGCCCTCCATAAGGACTTATCTGTCGGCAAAAGCTGGGACTGACAGTGCAACCGTGAGGGTCATATGGCTCTGACTTTAGCTCAGTAATAGGACCTTTTCTAGCTTGTTAGAGGTTACCTTTTTGGCGTAAATGGGGCTTGCCACGTTGGGTATAGGGCTGCCTCTGTTCCTATGTGTATAGCCGCGATGGATATGTGCCATAGGAAAGGGGGGTTCCTACATTTGCCTGCCAAGGAAACCTAGCGGCCCTAACTTGTTAGAGAAATCTATGAAATGGCTTCATAGTGTACCCTGCCCGCTCACCTTGGTAGTGACATGGGAGTAAATAACCCGGGCATATGGGGATCACGACTCGCGGTGAATGTGCACCACCTCTGCAGAGGATAACAAACTGTTATAATAGCCGTGCTCACGGTCACGAGCGGCCTGGAAAACTCATAGAATAGATGGCTACTTATAATGTTGTTTATACGAGATGATTATGATGATGTCACATGACTCAATTGGATCGGATATATGATCACGTGGGTTTAAATGGGAGCTTAAGCATAACTTGATAATAGTTGAGGATAAAATCTTGACTTACTAAAAGTGCTAACTGCAATAAACCAGTGTCAACCTTTTTGAGCTTCATAACCCCATGTTATCTTGTTGAGTACGGGACGTACTTACGCTTGTTTACTTTCTATATTTAGATAAAAATCCCGGATGGGTAACAGATGACAACGGATATGAGGAGTTTCCTGAGGTTTATTAGGCTTGTGGTCAACCAGTCGACCATCCCTGTGATGGAGTTCCACGAGAGAGTTATCTTTTTATCTTCCGCTGTGTTATGTAAGACAATGTGATGCTATTATTCATTATGTAAGTTACACCGTGATGATACTTTTTATAATTTGTCAACTTATGTGTGTGACTGATCCCTGGGCACACATGAGTTTAGTGCATTCAATTTTATCCTTAAAATTGGGTGTGACAGAACACTAAATCCAAATTGCCTTTGTTACAAAATAATTGTTCTAATAATGCTAGTGATAAAGAAAAATTGTGTGACAATGCTTTTATTATACCTATGCCACAACTTGTGAATGAGCATAATGCTTTTGTTCTGAAGCCAAATACTTGTGTTGAAAATAAACATTTGTTTTCAATTGCTATTGAAAGAGATGAACTAAAATTGTTGTCTTCTTTAAATACTTTGGGTTATATTGAGTTTGATACTCTACGTGCTTTAAGTAGTTTGAGGGAGAAATTTTTATACGTTGAGTTGCCATGGTTGTCTAGATGTACATATCATTTTATTGGCAAATATAATTGTAAAGGAGAGTATATGGTACACCAAGTTTGTACTTGTTCAAATCTAAAATCTCCTTTTGTTGTACAACAATATGATCGATTAGAGGGCTGCCATAGATATAATCATGTATTGTCAAGATCCCCAAGTTTTGTTATAAGGAAACATGTTAAATTTTAAGAAGAGGAGCAATGTTGGCTACTACCTGCAACTTGTCCTCCAACTAAGCTCAAACCGATGACAGTTTGCTGTCAAGAAGGGGAGGATGATGAGGACTGACACCATCGAATATGACCATTAATTATAAGGTGAGCTCGTTCCTATATTTGCATAGTGATTTTTGGTACAATTCACTTGGTTCCACATGCACATGTCATTATTTTCTTGTAGGTACAAATGTGTCTCAAAGTGCAAGTCCATCAAAGTTGAACTTTCAGTTCACCGGTGACCCAACAATGCTTAATTGGGAAGGTCATAACTCATCCATCCGGAGTGTGATTGTGGTCAATGAGCACTTGATCGAAAGCTTGTTTGATAAGTTTTTAAATAGATCTGGTTCCATGCCAATATCACATCGGCAAGACCACCAAATCATCAAGACATGCTGTCGCTATTTCTGCCAGGAGCTACGTCATCATCATGGGCTTTTTATTCACCCTTGGGACCCTAGACCAAGTTGGAGCATGCCCCAAGAAGATGGAGAACACATAAAGGAAGTCCTTGGACGTCCTCCCCCTTGGCCACCACCTTAGGAGGCAAGTAAGGGCATCCAAGCTAAGTGGAAGGTGCAATCCATGTGAAGTTCGAGTCCATCTCGGGCTATAGGAGCAGTCTGTAGTAAAACAGATACTCAGGTTGCATATGGACTCCGTTTTCGACGATTCCTGTATGATTGGATAGATAATTTGATAAGACAACCAATGGAGGTAGTCCTACATCAAAATTCCTTTCCAATCAACGGGAATCGTTGAAAGAAGTTGACGCCTAGAATCTGTCAGGGTGCTGCGTATCGCCGTCTTTTGGGCCGTTTGGGCATTGTAACATGCCGGGGCTCCTTAGGCATAATTTCCTTTGATCTATAACAAAGAACCCCTAATTAAGGTTCACTAAATTCCTCCAATAGCTCATGGGATAAAAAGTTGATGTCCATTGTCTATGTGGGATAGTGATGCCATCTAGAGCGAGTTCATGAAACTCCTCTAAAGTCAGTATCCTCAACATGTGACAGACCATTGATTTAATTAATTTACACTTAAGGTAAATTAAAATTCATTATGGTGATGTTGTATCCGATGCAAAAATTTGGGGTTCCATATCTTGTCACTTTGTTTTGGATTGTTGGAGATAGTCATCAAAACTATAAACTTTTCAACAATTAAAGATAATCACAAGATGTGTAGACCTCACGAACAATCATTATTAATGTTGGCACACATATAGTAGATAATCTCTATGTTCGAAACATAGAGTAGATCTCTCAGTAGTAGGCAAATAAATTGCTGATATAGATACGGTCTCTGGGCTAATATATTCGTAGGAATATACCGCAGCCAATGCTTAAGACTCTACCACATGTGTATAGCCTTTAATAATGAATGATAGTAGTCACCATAAAAGTGTACCATTTTCATATTTTTAAAATACTTATTTAGGACAACACAATGTAAGTAATCATAAGTTTAAAATAAACATGATGTAGGCCTCTTAATAATGGGCGAATAGTTGCTGCCATGGGCGTCAGCGGAGAAGCGACGTGCGTGATAACGTTTTAAAAAGTATAGAACAAGAGACAAGTGAGTGATGCAAATGATTCACTGTTATATTCCCAATAAACGGTAAACGGTTTTTACACGGTCGTCCTTCGTTTAGCGTTTAGGCTGTTTACACGGTGTTTAAACGGAGTTAAACGGTCTAAACGGTTTTGTACTTTTTATTAAAAAAAATACATATAATTATATATGTGCATGTAAAAAATCAAGTATTCTAGCATTTATACATATTTATCTGAGTAAAAATCAATTATTTTGGTATGTATATATATTTATGCATGTGAAAAGAATCAAATATAGATATTTATGCACGTAACATATCAAGTGTACACATTTATAAATATAATAAACTTAAGTATACAAATTTATCAATACAAAACTGAACTAGATTACCTCGTGTTCGCCTAAACGGCCGTTTAAATAGCTGTTTAGCCCGTTTAATGCCGTTTATCTCCGTTTCGTTTAGGCTGTTTAGACCGTTTTTTTCTGTTTTTTAACCGTTTAAATGGTCAACCGTTTAATTTTCGTTTACCCCATAAACAAAACAGTTTACCACCGTTTATCGTTTACTGGCCGTTTAAACGGCCGTTTAATCCGTTTAGGCGAACACTGTATATATATGGAGTGATTACAAGTATGAAGGAGAGAGGTGAAAAGACACCGCTTAGATTAATTCCTAATTTATCACTAAATAATAATTCTAAAAAATAGCTAGCATGCAATAAAATTATTCGACAGTTCTGTCCAGCCAAAATATATTGAAATCGAAATTAAAGACACTCATGGATCGGAAGATTTAACGCAAATCAGTCGTGGCGACGTTTCCCGCTTCCGGAAGCCGCCTCCCTCCCGGCGGCCTTCACCTTTTGTCGTAAGCGTACGCCAAGTCAGCATCTGCCTGTTGTGGTGTGAGCCAGAACGAGAAGCCGCCTCCCTCTGGCAGCGGCTGGGGTTGCTGCCCCACGCCCGTGAACTTCTTCACCTCCGCTAGTTGGGCGGCAGCGTCCAACGACCCAAACGCCGCCACGCCCTGACGAAAGCACTCGGCGTCCTCGTCCGGTTCCCGCGGCACGATGCCAGAGGGCGGCCGTCTCGCCTTGGGAAGGTGCGGCGGCGCCAGGGCAGCCGGTTCCCGGATAAGCCTCGAAGAAGAGCTCGACGCGGCCGCTGCGTGATTGTTGGCATAATAGGACGAGTGTCCGCCTCCGGACGAGCTGCCGGCGGCCGGACGTTGTTCGCTGCCGCCGCCCATGACGAGCGACGATGAATGCTTGAAGCGGATGAACCTGCTGGAAGCTGGTGGGGCCACAGATGAGTCCTTGCTGGACGGACCACCAGCTTGCGTGCTCTTTGCCGCCGCGCGGGCTCTGTCTCTGTGGCGCCGCCCTCGGCGTCGATCGTCGACCGCGCCGCGGTAAATTCTTGAGGAAGAGCATCATTCACGTTGTGCTTCCTCTTCTTCGGCTTTGTGGTCGCGGTGGCCTATCGCCGTCGACGACCGAGACGAGGGGTGGACATGGATAGCTTCCTCGCTCGGGCTGACAACGCCCTGGTGAAGTGTTTCCTCAGGCGGCATAGTGATGGCGCGATCGATCAAAGCGAGGTGTCATGACTTTTTGGAAGGAAACAAAAGAAGCTGCTGTGTCCCACGCTTGTACCTTTCTTCTTCATTTATTTACAGTATATATATATATATATATATATATATATATGAGTAATATATAATAGGAGTAATATTAATATATAAACTGTTCCCGTACAGCCGTACAAGCAGTGTCCGACCGTATTTCGGCGAGGCGGAGAGAACAATCCAGGCACGGTACGGCACACCACCGAGTCCCAGTCGGAGACACACACGAGGTTTGACTTTTTCTGTCAGGTTTATTTCGGCCGCGGCCCACAGGTACATGTTTCTTCTGGGCTAATAAAGCACAGGCCCACTAATAAATTTACCCGGTTTCTATGGCAAGTGGTTTATTTAGTGTTTGGCTTTAAACCACCAACAAGCGGCATGCATTTGTTGTCTAAATTTGAAGGCAACAAACAGAATTACCTATTATTGACTGGGGCTACTTCTCTTTGGTGGCCAACTTGGCTCACAAGGAACCATTTCATTTTTATCAATGGTCGTCCAAACATATTTTTGTAGGTTCTATTTACAGGATGCACTGGCTTCAGTTCTGGGCTCAATTACAATGCTCAGATGATTGCAAAGATCAGATTCATGAAGCATGCAAATTACTTGAAATAAGTGTCACACAGTTTCTTGCATCTAATGGATGGTCTTTTGTGTACCGTTCCAATCCTAGTTCAAAATCTCGTAATAAGTTTAATTTTTGGGTGTGTTTTCTTGTTTTTTTGTGTAGACCGATGTTTCTTATAGAAGAAAGCTCAAGCCGAAACTATTTCCCATTATCTAACAAAAGAAGCGTTTCACAACAAACTTTGCACTTTATTCAGATCATCACGCTATTTGTATAGAAAAAACAAATAAAACTATGTATGCAAGGAGTTCATCTAACTTCAGCCTTATCACCTTATATTTTTAATAATTATATAAGTATATACTACATGAACGAATCATTTGTTTTCTAGCTTGTAGTTATTTTTTTGAGAGAGAAATTCTAGCTTGTAGTTGCACTTGCTCTTTCTTGCACGGGCCACAGCGCACCTGCACTCGCTCCCCCGCGAGACCGGCCCAAAGGAAACTAAGTAGGAGTATTAAATATATATTAATTAAAAAATAAATTGCACAGATAGAAATTAATTTACGAGATAAATTTTTAAGCCTATTTAGCTCATTGTTTGATAACGTGTTGCTACAGTAAATATTTGTTAAATATGAATTAATTAGGCTTAATAGATTCGTCTTGCTAATTAATCTACTCTGTACAATTAATTTTTATAATTAGCTCATATTTAATCCTTCTAATTAGCATCATAATGTCCAGTGTGATACGGACTAACCCCATCGATTCTCATTTCCCGAGAGGCCGAGAGCCAGACGGGAGATTGCCGCAAGTCGCCAGCCAGGCCTTAATATGTGTGTAGGAAACCAATTACGAAAGAGCTGCATCTGAACTAATCAAACCCAAAGTAGACCAGAGTTGCTCCAGCGGCTCTCCCATGCTACCCAATACAATGACAATAAATTTAGATTTTAGCAACAACTAATGATCTATATTAATTCAAAGAACCAGTGCCCAATATTTTGCATTGAGAATCCCAAATTATTTATAACACTACTACACTCAGACCTGTCACAGCCACGTCGTAACCCCCATTGCAGCCGCATTTCGGCCTCGATAGTAAGTTGTCGGCAGTGATGTCATAGCCCTCACTGTCAGCATCTGAGACCGACTGCGGTGTACACTACACCACCGTATTGGCTTATGACCCGTCCACGATAAGGTCCTTACTTCCGTCACATTAGGGCATGACCCGTCTGTGTGGGTATACATTAACACCACCGCATTGGCAAATGATCCGCCTGTGTGGAGGCTATCATCACCGTCGTGTGGGCACATCAACCGCCTATGTAGTGGTCACGACACCGTCGCCTTGTACTTCGACCCGACTGTTTACGGTGTAGGTTCGTTGTCGCTTCGACGGCCGAGACATCTGTAGAGGTAAACATCACCGTCGCTTCAGCGTATGAACCGTTAGTACAAAGGTCATGGTCACCGTTGCCTTGCACCACGATCCTCCTTTGATGCTCGTTTAGTCGATGTCGGGTTACTAAATGATTCGGCGGTGATACACTAGTATCCTTGCCACATAATACGTCTAGCGATGGTGTTGGATGTTTGCACCACCAATGGTGGTGGTGATAACAAAATAATAAATGACTCTTAATAGCTTACTGAACACAAAGCATACAAATATAATCATTACATCCATAAACCATGTTCTTACAATAACAATGTATGCTTACCATAATATCTTTCTCAACTGATATCCTAACACAAGCGGTACATAGATTGCAAACTAAAGGTACTAATCTCTACAGACTTACATAAACCGTAGCTGTGCTCCTCCCATGTGGCACTTCTGCTTGCTAGGCAAAAATGAATATAATTAGTGCATCCTTCGGATTGGCAGCCAATGCACCATGGAACCCATGTTCTTCCTTCCTTAGCCAATGCAGAAAAATTGTTCAAAAGCACTCAGACTCAACCTGCACAAAGCAGCAAAATTAATGATATTGAACACATCATTCCTTTAGTTATGAAGCCCAAATTGGCCTATATATAGAATCAAAACAACTACCTACCTGAACAAAAAAAATACAACAAATGCACCTTTACTGCTCTGCTAATGACTGCATGAACAAGGGAACATAAGAAAGATAGTGAAGTCCGTTGATACATAGACTTCAGGTAGGTCTAGGACAACGGATGACTCGTGTAGGGAGGACATGAACTTTTCTATGGTTCATGTCATATACAAGCAGTGTTCTGTCTTCCCCAACAAGGAAAATCAAATTCCATTCAAGGTAAACTTCAATCACTCTGTTCTCCGCATGACAAACCTCATAACCAAATTCAATATTGTTCTGTCTAAATATCTCCAGCGTGGTCACCGTATGCTTCAATGTCCATCTATTACTATCGTAGTCTTCAAGGATCCAGATTGAAAGCTGAGTCATAGTGTAAATATCAACAATACATAAGCACAACTGACCCTGGGCTTCATGGATGGAGATTGCATCACCACGTGGCTTCTGTATTTTCATCCATGTGTTTTCGTCCATATCAACAACAATGATCTAGAAGAACTCGAGCCAGTGCATAAAACCATTAATAAACACATTTCTCGCATATGTGGATACTATAATATCGTCGCCCCATTCAGACTCTTTAAAGATCCAAGCTGCACTCTTAGATGAGTAGATGCTCACACCTACGGACTCACCCTCCCTCATCTTCCTATATTCAAACACATAGAGGTGTGAGGAGACTGTCGGATCAAACCCCAAGTGAGCCTCGCCCCAAGAATGGAGGTTATTCGGCAGTAGCAACCATTTGTTAGTCGCCGGATTGCAGACAACATAGCGACACCTAAAACACCAGCAGAGGATGAGGTTGTTGCAGCAATCTGAGATGACGACATCGTGAATGGGGAAGGGCAAGAAGAACAAGGAGGGGTGTTCACCAGTAATGCTCGTGAAGTGGCGATTGCCTTTCTAGGTGCGATAGAAGAATCCGGCAACAATCTAGGGCAGCTCCTTGTTGACGGTCACTAAATGCCTATTTTGACCATAAACATTGCACCAAAAATGGGAGTAAACAACAACACAAGTAGTGATTTATGTTTATAATTCACATATTTCCACTTATACTTGGAGATCTTTGCTCATGCAGGAAAACTATGCAAAAATATCAAAAATCAAGCAACTAGAAGCAATTGAAGCAAGGTGGGCCACCATAGGCCACTTGGTGGCACCGGCCGGCCCCACCATGGTGCCGTCCGGCGTGGCACTTCAAGTGCCACCTCACCAATCCGTGGGAAATGACCAAGAAACACATCTCCAAGCCTTCTCTGCCGTTGATTCCAAATTGGTGCATGATCAATCTGAAAAGAGCCATCACATGGATTGCTGACTCACCATCCGGTATGTCGGGTGCTCAAATGGACAAATGGTGTCCATACCCACACTCTACTACATCCCAAGGGGTCCCACACCGAAGGAGGAGGGCCCACTCCATAGTGGCACTTCGGTCGGCGCCCCCATCACGTCGCCAGGCACCCAACTTTCACTCCACTGCCTCTCCTTTGGACACATGCAAGGAAACACACTTGGGAGCAATCTTATGTGTCTGTTTATTTATTAGTATGTTAATAGGACCCTCACCCCTCACTTGTAACACACACCAACACTACACAAGAGATGTAGCTCTCTCTCTACTCTCTCAAGATGTAGCTCTTCAAGTAGTAGATAGTCTTGGTGGGAGCTCTAGATCAGGAGTCTGGTATAGCTTTGTCTCTCTTTTGTAAGTACTTTATTTATTAGTATGTTACTTTCTATGCAAGTTAAATTTCAAGTCTTTTACTTTATGTACTAGTCTTGTTCTCTATTTATACTTTGGTTATGCTTATATTTCCTATGATAAGTGGGCTCTCAGTAGCATGGGTTGTTCATCACTAGTTGATGCTCTAGTCTTAACGTGAGGCTAGGGTAGTATCAAATAGTGTACGCGTGGTGCTTATACTATTGGGTATCTTGCAACGTGGCTAGGTCTCCGGATAGAT